TAAAAAAAAAAAAATTTTTTTCAAAAAATAAAAAAAAAAATAAAAGTAATTGGGAAGATGAGGGAATATTTTGAGGAATTTTTAAAATGTTGATGAAGATAGGGAAGCTTGATTTCGTGTATAGGGCAAGGAGGAATAACATCTTGTGGAGTGAGGAAGAGCCAGTTGTGAGTGTGGGGAAGTTCGTGAGGCAGTAGGTAAAATGAAAGGGGGTAAGGCAGCCGGGATTGATGGGATAAAGATAGAAATGTTAAAAGCAGGTGGGGGATATAGTTTTGGAGTGCTTGGTGCAATTATTTAATAAATGTATGGAAGAGGGTAAGGTACCTAGTGATTGGCAGAGAGCATGCATAGTTCCTTTGTATAAAGGCAAAGGGGATAAAAGAGAGTGCAAAATTATAGGGGGATAAGTCTGTTGAGTGTACCTGGTAAAGTGTATGGTAGAGTTATAATTGAAAAAAATTAAGAGTAAGACGGAGAATAGGATAGCAGATGAACAAGGAGGCTTTAGAAAAGGTAGGGGGTGTGTGGACCAGGTGTTTACAGTGAAACATATAAGTGAAACAGTATTTAGATAAGGCTAAAGAGGTCTTTGTGGCATTTATGGATTTGGAAAAAGGCGTATGACAGGGTGGATAGGGGGGCAATGTGGCAGATGTTGCAAGTGTATGGTGTAGGAGGTAGGTTACTGAAAGCAGTGAAGAGTTTTTACGAGGATAGTGAGGCTCAAGTTAGAGTATGTAGGAAAGAGGGAAATTTTTTCCCAGTAAAAGTAGGCCTTAGACAAGGATGTGTGATGTCACCGTGGTTGTTTAATATATTTATAGATGGGGTTGTAAGAGAAGTAAATGCGAGGGTCTGGCAAGAGGCGTGGAGTTAAAAGATAAAGAATCACACACAAAGTGGGAGTTGTCACAGTGCTCTTTGCTGATGACACTGTGCTTTTGGGAGATTCTGAAGAGAAGCTGCAGAGATTGGTGGATGAATTTGGTAGGGTGTGCAAAAGAAAAAATTAAAGGTGAATACAAGAAAGAGTAAGGTTATGAGGATAACAAAAATATTAGGTGATGAAAGATTGAATATCAGATTGGAGGAGAGAGTATGGAGGAGGTGAACGTATTCAGATATTTGGGAGTGGACGTGTCAGCGGATGGGTCTATGAAAGATGAGGTGAATCATAGAATTGATGAGGGAAAAAGAGTGAGTGGTGCACTTAGGAGTCTGTGGAGACAAAGAACTTTGTCCTTAGAGGCAAAGAGGGGAATGTATGAGAGTATAGTTTTACCAACGCTCTTATATGGGGTGTGAAGCGTGGGTGATGAATGTTGCAGCGAGGAGAAGGCTGGAGGCAGTGGAGATGTCATGTCTGAGGGCAATGTGTGGTGTGAATATAATGCAGAGAATTCGTAGTTTGGAAGTTAGGAGGTGCGGGATTACCAAAACTGTTGTCCAGGGGGCTGAGGAAGGGTTGTGAGGTGGTTCGGACATGTAGAGAGAATGGAGCGAAACAGAATGACTTCAAGAGTGTATCAGTCTGTAGTGGAAGGAAGGCGGGGTAGGGCGTCGGCCTAGGAAGGGTTGGAGGGAGGGGGTAAAGGAGGTTTTGTGTGCGAGGGGCTTGGGACTTCCAGCAGGCATGCGTGAGCGTGTTTGATAGGAGTGAATGGAGACAAATGGTTTTTAATACTTGACGTGCTGTTGGAGTGTGAGCAAAGTAACATTTATGAAGGGATTCAGGGAAACCGGCAGGCCGGACTTGAGTCCTGGAGATGGGAAGTACAGTGCCTGCACTCTGAAGGAGGGGTGTTAATGTTGCAGTTTAAAAACTGTAGTGTAAAGCACCCTTCTGGCAAGACAGTGATGGAGTGAATGATGGTGAAAGTTTTTCTTTTTCGGGCCACCCTGCCTTGGTGGGAATCGGCCAGTGTGATAATAAAATAAAAAATAAACTAGGGTAGTTATATAAAGCTAAAATAAAGGAAAAATATATAAGGGACTAAAATTAAGTAATGGTAAACAAAGTTAAATGGACAGATAGTCACTATGAAATAATATTGGTTTAGGAGTAAGATCTGATTTGTAATATTAAATAAATTGAGCAGTTTATTGCACAATAAAAAGTAAAAAAAAAAAAAAAAAATGAGGTAGTTGGTACTAGCTAGCAAAAGATAGTTTTGGTACTTGCAAAAAAGTAATTGGAATATACACTAACTGCATACACAATGAAAAGTGACTAAAAAAACAAGTAGTGATAAACAAAATTAAATGGACAGGTAAGAATAATGAATATTATTAATTTGGAGTAAGATTTGACTTGTAATTTAAAATTATGAGCAATTAATAGCAGTAAGAAAGAAGTATAGAGTATTGGAGGTAGTTGGGATTAGCTAGTGATGAAAAATAATAAAAATAATAATGCACAATATAATAGTAACGTATACTATATGCACCACACGTATATATGTATTAAGGGCACTTATCTAATCTGTTACAGAAATGTCAGCTTTTCTAAGGAAGGTAGAGAAATCATGTTCATTTGAGATGGTATATTGTTTGTCTGTTGATGTTTTCCTTACTAGTATTTTCCCATCTCGCGTGAAACACTGATGTATTTTGTTTTCCTGTTTAAGTTTTCTCAGCCTGAACAGAAGGTTTTGACGTTTTTTTGTTAGACACTCATTTATGTACACTCCATTTTTCATTGTAATTGCTGATTTAATTAGGTCCTTTCTTTTATCGTATGAATGAAGTCGGATCATTATACTGTGTTTACTTCCTGGTTTTCCAAGCAAACGTGTTTCTTTGATTTCATTGTTTTGCACGATGACTTGTACGTGGTTCTGTATTATCCTGATTGCAGTTTCTTTGCACTGTGCTTGTGTTATGTCACTAGGAATGTGTGGACTGTTTATTATAACTGCATCAGACAACTTATCTTGTTCAGTTTTGTCGTCTTGGAAATCAAGGTATTCATTTAGTCGAGTGTGCATGTTCTGATTCCAGTCCTTGATTGCTTCTTCAACCTTCATATTTATTGTTGTTATTTGCTCAGTGTGACTGGCTATAGCTGCTTTTAGAGTATTTTCTGTGTCAACACTTCCCGATGTAATCTTCTCTTCAAGGTTTTGGATCTTGTTCTCGAGGTTGGTTATCTTGGATTCTTGTCGCTCGAGTGTTGCTTTGATATCTTTGATTTCATTTTCTAGAGCAACGATGTAGTCCTTGATATTGTCAGGAATAATCATACCTGAGTTATCATGGGTGAATCCTTTGAAGGGAGTGGAGTTGGAGGGGGAGTCAGCCATGTTTGTTGTTGTTGTTGTTGTTGTTCCCTGGGTGGAGGCGGTGAGGGGGGTTGATGATACACCGACGTCCTGCTGGGTAGACAAGTTGAGTTCTAGGGTCCTTGCTGTTATTCTTTTATTACTGGTGTTGTTTCTTCTGCGATATCCTTTCATAGTATCACTGAAGTAGATACTGTGTAGCAATGGAGGAGAAGGCTTGTTTTCTCGGAGCTTGGGTTAAGTGGTTGTCTGGCAGCGGAGGTAGTGTTTGGGTTAGCAGGGCTGTCTTCCTTAGATCTTCTAATTTTGTCAAGATTTGGGTTACATTCTTAGTATTCTTGGGTCATGTTGTGGTCTACGTGGGTTCATGTAGTTGAACTTTCACTTAGGCCATCACAAGTTTTGATGAGCGATGTTTTTTTGAGAAAGAAGAGCTGGTAGGATACCGTTGCTGCCGCTGCCGCCGCCTCCGCTCTTTATATATAAAATTATACAGCACATGGAAACTAGAAATGAATATTAAATGAAAATTTAACTGAAATATTGTACAGTAAATGAAATTTAACTTCTTATCTGTCAGACGAGAGCTTACTGGAAGTGGAGGTGGAGAGGAGGGGGTATGTTACTGCTTGGAAGGAGAGTCACCTTCTATTAATATGTCAGGCAACTGTTCTCCTGGTGTTCTTTTTGTTTTTTGTCTCTTTTCACTACTAACACCTTGTTCTGGCTTACTGGTTCTTTGTCTCACTAAAAACCTGTCCAGTGAGATTTGTTTCAGGCTCCATTTTAACACTTGTCTAAATTGAGACATTACACTGTACATATTAGATGGATGACCACTGCTTTGTCTGGATGGTATTTTTCAGCAAACTCCTGCACTTCATGCCATTTAGCACGCATTTCCTTGACAAGTGCAATGGGCACATCATCCCTTCCTTCCTCTTCCTCTGATGAGAGCTCCTCCTCTGCAATCTGTTGCTGCTTCTTCTGCAGGTCTAGAAGTTCTGTGGTGAGTTCAGTTCTGTGCTCTTCTACCAACTCCTCCACATCATCTTCACTCACCTCTAGGCCCAAGGTCTTTCCCAGGGACACAATATCCTTTACTAGCTCAGGCTTATCTTCAAAGCCTTCAAAATCCCTGGCTGCCACAAAGTCAAGCCACAATTTCTTCCATGCTGACTGCATGGTCCTGGTAGACACATTCCCTCAGGCTTTGTCTATAAGCCTCAAGCAGGTGAGGATATTGAAAGAGTCCTTCCAGAACTCCCTGAGGGTTAAATTTGTTTCTGAAGTGACTTCAAAGCACCTTTCAAAAAGTGTTTTGTCGCCCGTTCCGTACATGTGAGAACTTGTCCATTGACAACCAAGAGAATGCATGAAAACCAAGACATTTTTTCTCGAACACCTCATTCGAAAACTGATTTATTGAACAAGTAATGCAATCGACAACTGAGGTTCGACTGTATTTTGTTTATATGATATTTAATGCATTTATTACATAATTTTGAAAAAAAGTCATAGATGAATTAATGAAAATGTCTACAATAATGTAATATACTGTATGCTAAAAGTTGGAGAAAGTTAAATTTATAAAAATTATTTAGCAAGTGTTCTTTCACATTGTAGGCCTACCCATGGAAGTGCCCATGTGGCTGGGCATCAACCTCCGCCAGCGAGGTAAATGTCGACTGATTCTGCCTGAGTGGATGGATGTTGCAAAGCTAACAGAGAAGAAAGAAGAGGAGAGCCAGTCTAAGGTACAGTGAACTCACTCACTCACACTCACTCATTCAGTGTGTGTGAGGAATTATCATGCTTGCTGTGTATATTATGTATGCTACATTCTATGTATACAGGAAGAGTTGGTAGATGGATGTATAACTTCCTAAGGTCTAAGGTGGCTACAGTGAAGAGCTCGATTCCACAAGGCCTCCACCCTGTTCCTTTTCTTCATATCTGACATAGACAGAGGTGTAAGCCACAGCATCCTGTCTTCCTTTGCAGATGACACCTGAAGTTGCATGACAGTGTCATCCATCGAAGACAGTGCAAGACTCCAAGCGAATATCAACCAAATCTTTAAGTGGGCCATGGAAAACAACATGAATTTCAATGAAGAGAAATTTCAATTTTTCCGATACGGAATACTCGAGGAAATTAAAGTTGTATTGGAGTATAAAACAAATTCCAACCACACAATAGAGCAAAAAACTAATGTGAAGGACCTGGGAGTGATAATGTCAGAAGATCTCACTTTGAAAGATTACAACAATGTATCTGACACATATGCTAGGAAAATGATAGGATGGATAATGAGAACCTTCAAAACTAGGGATGCTGAGCACATGATGATTCTTTTCAAATGACTTGTTCTCTCTAGGCTGGAATACTGCTGTACACTAACTGCCCCCTTCTACATGTATGCTACATTCTACATGTACGCTACATTCTACATGTATGCTACATTCTACATGTACGCTACATTCTACATGTGCACCATGTTCTACATAGTGGTGCTATAAGAATGTAGGTAGGTCTTAGCTTAGTGTTATCACCTGTGCCTCATAGCCTGGTGACCTGAGTTCATCTCCTGGACAGTCGCAGTTGTAGCCTGTGTTTATCCACACCTCTTGCACCTTCATATACCAGTATGCAGATACTTAAGTGTCGGCAGACTGTTGTAGCTGGCATCCTGCACCTCAGCTTTGAGTCATATATATTTTTCATGGCATTATTTAAGTTGAACACTGTAGATTGTTCTTTTGAACAGAACATTGAAAAACCCCACTGTTATGCAGACTTAACATTAAACTTAAAATGAACTTGTTATAAAAAATATATATCAATGTTCCTGAAAATTTAATAAATTTTGTAATTAATAAGAAGGAAGAAGTAGAGTGACTGTCCTTAGTAATAAATCCTGAGAGGGATGACACATGCCTCACTAGAAATTTAACAATAATGAACATGATAAGACAAAGAGAAGGATGATGGGGTAGGTACTGAGAACTTTCAATACAAGGGAAATAATGTCATTAGTGACACTCTTCAAATCACTAGTGCTCCCTCATTTGGAATGTTGTTCAGTGCTGATGGCCCTGTTCAAACCAGGAGAAATATCAGAGCTGGAACAAATACAGAGATTGTTTACGGCTCACATAGAACCAGTAAAGCAGCTAAATTACTGGGAACACCTTCAAGTCTTGAACATGTACTCATTGGAGTGGAGAGAGAGATATAAGATATAGTACCTGGAAAGTACCAAATCTGCACACTGTCATAACGTACTGGAGTGAGAGATATGGGAGGAAGTGCAAAATAAACCCAGCGAGGAGCAGGGGTGCGGTGGAGACAATGAGGGAACACTGTATCAATATCTGGGGTCCCAGACCATTCAACATCTTACAAGAAGATATCAGAAACATGGCTGGAACAAGTGTAGAAGCCTTCAAGAGGAAACTGGACAAGTTCCTTCACCAGGTGACAGCTCAACCAGGCTGTGATGGATATGTGGGGCAGCGGGCCTCCAGCCTGGTTGACCAGGCAAGCCCCAGACAAGCCTGGCCCATGGCCAAGCTCTGAAAGTAGTAAAACTCTCGAAGCTCTTTAGTGGTATATCAAAGGTGCCAGATCAACCAGGCTGTGATGGATATGTGGGGCAGTGAACCACCAGCAGCAACAACCTGGTTGACCAGGCAAACACCAGGCAAGCCTGGCCCATGGCCGGCCTCCGAGAGTAGTGAGACTCTCAAAACTCATCAAAGGTATATCAAAGGTATATCTTTGTAATAATTTATAATTGTGATATCAAACATGGATGTTAGATATCACATTAAGGTACAGAGGTGCTCTTAAACAGTACTTTTGAGGTGGTTGGTACATGGGGACCTTTGGAATTTTCAAGTAAAGAGGTCTAAATTTTTGGGCATTTTATGTACATTGTATACAAGTTGAGACAGACATGAGGATGTCATGGAGATTTTTGTATTATGCACTCTTTCAGAGTGCAGGCACTGTACTTCCCACCTCCAGCACTGTAACATTCTCACCCATCCTTCAGAGTGCTGGCATTGTACTTCCCACTGCCAGGACTGTAACATCCTCACCCATTCTTCAGAGTGCAGTCACTGTACTTCCCACCTCCAAAACTGTAACACCCTCACCCATCCTTCAGAGTACAGGCACTGTACTTCCCACCTTCAGGACTGTAACATCCTCACTCATTCTTCAGAGTGCAGGCACTATACTTCCCACCTCCAAGACTCAAGTCCAGCCTTTGCTTCCTTACCTTGTTTACACTAAGACAAGAACACAGTCATTAAACCCACTGATCATCATAGTTTCATTTGGTATACTCACCCAACCTTCTATATAAGTAAATATTATTAATATATTTAAATATGAATTCAGATTAAGTTGTAATAAACGACTATAAATGAATGAATGAGAAGATGAGCGGGATGTTCGAACCATGGTCCTGAGGTTAGCTGGTCCAGCACTTTACCACTGAGTTATGGAGCTTCCAACATCTGAATCTTTCCACTTAGATGCCCCATAGCTCAGTGGTGAAGTGTTGGACCTCTTAATCTTGGGACCACAGTTCAAGCCTCCTATCCATCTTTCTGTGTATTCACGTGATAAATATTGTTGATGTGTGTGTTTGTTGTCAGGTATTCACAGAGATGCCATGCCAACACTACCTCGTGGTGGCACAGTTGATGTTGTCAGCAGCACCAGAGGACATACCTAGTTCTCAGCAAGTGAAGACCCTTGTCAAGGTCAGTGACGTATGTTGATGAGTAAGATGTGTGTGTGTAAGTTAACTATCTTTATTGATGAGTAAAACATGCATGTGTAAGTTAACTGTCTTTATTGATGAGTAAGACACATTGGTGTGTTTAACATATTTATTTATGAATAAGACAGCCATTAATAACTTCACAACAGCAGTAGCAAACATTGACTGGCACACTGAGCTAGAAATCAATACAGATATTGATGAATGTATTAATAATTTTCTAAAAAAGACCCAATACCTCTATAACAAGCACTGCCCTAAAAAAACTAAGCAGATGACAGCTAAGAGACTGAACAGTCCCTGGCTAACACCCAGCATTCTCAAATCCATAAATACAAAACACCAATATGAAAAACAGTACAGAATGGGTCACATAACCAGAGACCAAACAAAACGTTACTCGTCAATCCTAACCAGCCTGATAAGAAGGGCAAAAAAATTGTATTATGAGAACAGATTATCCAACTTACGAGGTGATATAAAAAAGACCTGGAAAACCCTATCAGAAATTCTGGGAACAAAAAAGATATCACGAAATAGCGAATAAAATTAGCAAAATCAGATGAACCCAACTCCCACCAACAGAAACAGCAAACAGACTCAAATGATTTCTTCTCCACTATAGGACAAAACCTTGCCAATAAAATCCCAAGCTCAGATACCCCACCAAATGACTACCTCACCGGCAAACTACCCGAACACACTGTTCCTAGCTCCGACTAACCCATACGAAGTCTCCTTATTATCAACGCACTAAAAAACAAGGCAGGAGATTTAAATACCTTACCACCTTTATATACAAAAAAGTGTCACAAGTGCTATCACCAATCATTGCAACACTCTTTAACAAATCCATTGAATCCTCCACCTTCCCTACAGTACTCAAAATAGCAAGGGTCACCCCGATCCACAAAGGAGGAGACCAAACAGAGTTGAATAACTATAGGCCAATATCCAACTTACACACCCTCTCTCAAAAATCTTCGAAAAAATTAATTCATAAACGAATCTACTCCTACCTTATCTCCCAAAACATACTCAACCCCTGCCAATTTGATTCAGGCCTAATAAAAATACTAATGATGCTATTATACACATGCTAGAACATAATACACTGCAATAGAGAAAAAAGAAGTCCCACTGGGGATCTTCATTGACTTACGTAAAGCTTTTGATACAGTTGACCATGACTTGCTCCACGTAAAATTGTCACACTATGGTATAAGAGGGCACTCCCTCAACTACCTCAAGTCATACCTCAGCAACAGAAGCCAATATGTGTAACGCAAATGGGGCAAACTCTTCTGCACAACCAATTACAGTTGGTGTCCCACAGGGAAGTGTCCTTGGCCCTCTTCTCTTTCTCCTATACATAAATGACCTACCAAATGCTTCGCAATTACTCAAACCCACACTATTTGCTGATGACACAACATACGTCTTCTCCCACCCGAGCCCAGTCACGCTAGCCAATACTGTAAATACCGAATTACAGAAAATATCTACCTGGATGAGTACTAACAAACTTACACTAAACATTGACAAACCTACTTCATTCAGTTTGGTAACAGAGCTACAGATGTCCCTCTTAACATAATGATAAACGGATCACCTATCACAAAGCTAACAGAGGGAAAATTCTTAGGAATCCACCTTGATAATAGACTCAAATTTCATACACATATACAACAAATTTCTAAGAAAATTTCCAAGACTGTAGGCATACTATCGAAGATACGGTACTATGCTCCACAGTCAGCCCTCCTGGCCCTATATCACTCTCTTATTTACCCCTATCTCACCTATGGAATTTGTGCATGGGGCTCAACAACAAGTAACCATCTCAGACCACTAATTACCCAACAAAAGGCTGCAGTTAGAATGATAACAAATTCTCACTACAGGCAGCACACTCCACCAATATTCAATACACTCAACCTACTCACCATACAAAACATCCATACTTATTACTGCACCTATTACATACATAGAACACTCAACTCTGATATTAACCCTCCCCTCAAACATCTCCTTGCCAACCTCAACAGAACACATGACCATAAACACAAGGCACAGATCACTCTTTGATATTCCTCGTGTCCATCTCACGCTATGCAAAAAACTCAATGCACATAAAAGGCCCTAAAATTGGGAATTCATTACCTGTAAATATAAAAGAAACACTACCTGTTTATAAATTCAAGTCTCTTCTCAAAGATCACTTACTCACCCAAACCAAATAAATACTGAATAACTGAACCTTATAAATTGTATATCTTAAATGTTTCTCACAATTATATCACATAAATGTTAAACTAAAAACCAATCTAACTTTATTATTTTTAAATACACTACCTAACAGAATACTCCATTCTACTGAATTTACAACAATGCATGCAACCATATGACCTGTCTTTGTAATACTCACTTGTGCTTTATAGTAATCTGTTTACATTAATGTTTTTCACTGATTTCATCATTGCTTAGTTAATCTTAAGTTAATTTTAAGCCAGCCCGTAATGCTATGCATAGTATAAGTGGCTTTGGCATGCTGCTCTTATCTGTATTTTTTTGTACCTCTGTATGTGTGCTCAAATTATAAATAAATAAAAAGACACGTGTGTGTGCGTGTACCATCTTTATTGATGAGTAAGACGTGTTGTGTGTGTACTCACCATTTGTGGTTTCACAGTTGATTCACAGCTTCTGGCCCTGTCTTTTTGCTGGTATGTGTGTGTTTATTATCTTTATTGATTAGTAAGACACCAGTCAGTGTTGTAGTGACCCTTGACTCACTAGTCAGTGTTGTAGTGACTCTTGACTCACTAGTCAGTGTTATAGTGACCCCTGACTCACTAGTCAGTGTTGTAGTGACCCCTGACTCACCAGTCAGTGTTGTAGTGACCCCTGACTCACTAGTCAGTGTTGTAGTGACCCCTAACTCACCAGTCAGTGTTGTAGTGACCCTAACTCACCGGTCAGTGTTGTAGTGACCCTAGACTCACCAGTCAGTGTTGTAGTGACCCCTAACTCACCAGTCAGTGTTGTAGTGTCCTTGGACTCACCAGTCAGTGTTGTAGTGACCTATAAGATAAGATTTCGTTCGAATTTTTAACCCCGGAGGGTTAGCCACCCAGGGTAACCCAAGAAAGTCAGTGCGTCATAGAGGACTGTCTAAACTGATTTCTATTGGGTCCTCAATCTTGTCCCCAGGATGCGACCCACACCAGTCGACTAAAACCCAGGTACCTATTTGCTGCTAGGTGAACAGGACAACAGGTGTAAGGAAATGTGTCGAAATGTTTCCACCTGCCAGGAATCGAACCCGGGCCCTCCATGTGTGAAGTGGGACTTTTAGCCACCAGGCCACCCTCATTAGTCAGTGTTGTAGTGACCCCTGACTCACTAGTCAGTGTTGTAGTGAGGCCTGACTCACAAGCCAGTGTTGTAGTGACCCCTGACTCACCAGTCAGTGCTGTAGTGACCCTAGACTCACCAGTCAGTGTTGTATAGTGACCCTAAACTCACTAGTCAGTGTTGTAGTGACCTTGGACTCACCAGTGTTGTAGTGACCCTAGACTCATCAGTGTTGTAGTGACCCCTGACTCACCAGTCAGTGATGTATGACCATAGACTCACCAGTCAGTGTTGTAGTGACCCTAGACTCACCAGTTTTGTAGTGACCCCTGACTCACCAGTCAGTGTTGTAGTGACCCTAAACTCACCAGTCAGTGTTGTAGTGACCCCTGACTCACCAGTCAGTGTCGTAGTGACCCTAGACTCACCAGTCAGTGTTGTAGTGACCCTAGACTCACCAGTCAGTGTTGTCGTGACCCTAGACTCACCAGTCAGTGTTGTAGTGACCCTAGACTCACCAGTCAGTGTTGTAGTAACCCTAGACTCACCAGTCAGTGTTGTAGTGATCCCTGACTCATCAGTCAGTGTTGTAGTGACCCTAGACTCACCAGTCAGTGTTGTAGTGACCCTAGACTCACCAGTCAGTGTTGTAGTGACCCTAGACTCACCAGTCAGTGTTGTAGTGACCCTAGACTCACCAGTCAGTGTTATAGTGACCCCTGACTCATCAGTCAGTGTTGAAGTGACCCTAGACTCACCAGTCAGTGTTGTAGTGACCCTAGACTCACCAGTCAGTGTTGTAGTGACCCTAGACTCACCAGTCAGTGTTGTAGTGACCCTAGACTCACCAGTCAGTGTTGTAGTGACCCCTGACTCACCAGTCAGTGTTGTAGTGACCCTAGACTCACCAGTCAGTGTTGTAGTGACCCTAGGCTCACCAGTCAGTGTTGTAGTGACCCTAGACTCACCAGTCAGTGTTGTAGTGGCCCTAGACTCACCAGTCAGTGTTGTAGTGACCCTAGACTCACCAGTCAGTGTTGTAGTGACCCTAGACTCACCAGTCAGTGTTGTAGTGACCCCTGACTCACCAGTCAGTGTTGTAGTGACCCTAGACTCACCAGTCAGTGTTGTAGTGACCCTAGACTCACCAGTCAGTGTTGTAGTGACCCTAGACTCACCAGTCAGTTATGTAGTGGCCCCTGACTCACCATTCAGTGTTGTAGTGACCCTAGACTCACCAGTCAGTGTTGTAGTGACCCTAGACTCACCAGTCAGTGTGTAGTGACCCTAGATCACAGTCAGTGTTGTAGTGACCCTAGACTCACTAGTCAGCGTTGTAGTGACCCTAGACTCACCAGGCAGTGTTGTAGTGACCCCTGACTCACCAGTGAGTGTTGTAGTGACCCTAGACTCACCAGTCAGTGTTGTAGTGACCCCTGGCTCACCAGTCAGTGTTGTAGTGACCCTAGACTCACCAGTCAGTGTTGTAGTGACCCTAGACTCACCAGTCAGTGTTGTAGTGACCCTAAACTCACCAGTCAGTGTTGTAGTGACCCTAGACTCACCAGTCAGTGTTGTAGTGACCCTAGACTCACCAGTCAGTGTTGTAGTGACCCTAGACTCACCAGTCAGTGTTGTAGTGACCCCTGACTCACCAGTCAGTGTTGTAGTGACCCCTGACTCACCAGTCAGTGTTGTAGTGACTCTAGACTCACCAGTCAGTATTGTAGTGACCCCTGACTCACCAGTCAGTGTTGTAGTGACCCTAGACTCACCAGTCAGTGTTGTAGTGACCCCTGACTCACCAGTCAGTGTTGTAGTGACCCCTGACTCACCAGTCAGTGTTGTAGTGACTCTAGACTCACCAGTCAGTATTGTAGTGACCCTAGAGAAATTTCATCTACTCAGATGTGGAAAACTTGAGAAAATTAAAGCTGTATCAGGGTATACAACAAATTCTAATCATACAGTAGAGTAAAAAAGTAATGTGGAGGACCTGTGAGTAATAATGTCTGAGGATCTCACCTTCAAAGACCACAACAGTTGTATCTACCACCTCTGCTAGGAAAATGATAGGATGGATAATGAGAACCTTCAAAACTAGGGACGTGAAGCCCATGATGATTCTTTTCAAATCGCTTGTTCTCTCTAGGGTGGAATACTGCTGTACACTAATTGCCCCCTTCAAGGCTGGCAAAATTGCTGACCTAGAGAGTGTACAAAGAACTTTACAGTACACATAAGTACAATAAGGCACCTAAATTACTGGGAATGGTTGAAGTCCCTAGATTTGTATTCCCTGGAACACAGGCAAGAAAGATACATGATAATATACACTTGGAAAATCCTAGAGGGATTAGTACCAAACTTGCACACGAAAATCACTCCCTGTGAAAGCAAAAGACTTGGCAGGAGATGCAACATTCCCCCAGTGGAAAGCAGGGGTACCACAAGTACACTGAGAGACGGCAAATAAGTGTCCAGGGCCCAAGACTGTTCAACTTCTTCCCTGCATACATAAGGGGGATTACCAATAGACCCCTGGCTGTCTTCAAGCAGGCACTGGACAGGAACCAAAACTCAGTAACTGACCAACCGGGCTGTGGTTCATATGTCAGTTTGCATGTGGCCAGCAGTAACAGCCTGGTTGATCAGACCCTGATCCATCACGAGGCCTGGTCTCAAACCGAGCAGTGGAGGTGTTGACCCCCGAAACCCTCACCAGGTAACCTCCAGGTAGACTCGCTAGTCAGTGTTGTAGTGACCTTGGACTCAACAGTCAGTGTTGTAGTGACCCTACACTCACCAGTCAGTGTTGTTGTGACCCCTGACTCACCAGTCAGTGTTGTAGTGACCCTGGACTCACTAGTCAGTGTTGTAGTGACCCCTGACTCACTAGTCAGTGTTGTAATGACCCCTGACTCACAAGTCAATGTTGTAGTGACCCCTGACTCACTAGTCACTGTTGTAGTGACCCCTGACTCACTATTCAAGTGTTGTAGTAACCCCTGACTCACTAGTCAGTGTTGTAGTAACCCTGGACTCACTAGTCAGTGTTGTAGTGACCTTGGACTGACCAGTCAACGTTATAGTGACCTTGGACTCACCAGACAGTTTTGTAGTGACCCTGGACTCACTAATCTTTACTGTAGTGACTCTGGACTCACCAGTCAGTACTGGTGTGACCCTAGACTCACTAGTCAGTAGTTGTGAAGGGGTTACTAGCCCCTTGTTCCCGACAGTTTAGTTGCCTCTTGCTGTCTTCAAGCAGGCACTGGACAAGCACCTAAAGTCGGTACCTGATCAGCCGAGCTGTGGTTCATACATTGGATTGCGTGCAGCCAGCAGTAACAGTCTGGTTGATCAGGCCCTGATCCACCATGAGGCCTGGTCACAGACTGGGCCGTGGGGGCGTTGACCCCTGGAACTCTCTCCAGGTAAACTACCCGCATGGCTTATGTAGGGAGGATTCTACCCCACTTTCCCATGGAATAACTCTTCATAGGCTTTTAAATCGATTTGAAAACTCCTTATAACCTTTCACTAATACACCTACCATCCGACTTACGGCCGAGTTCGGTTCCGAGAAACCGGTCGTAAGTCGAAATGGTCGTAAGTTGAACTTTACTACTGAATATCAACAAAACATTTTTGTAATGACTTTATTTTATTGTTTTTATTTTGGTATTTCATGTTTTACTTTACTTTTTATGTTGTTAGTATGTACTGTATTTTTACTGTAATGTTTAAGATAAACACTGTGTACAACACAAATAGTTGTTTATTTCCCAGAAATTTGGCATAAAAAACACTGTCATAAGTCGAGTGGTCGTAAGTCGAGCAGGTCGTAAGTTGGATGGTAGGTGTACTTGCCAAGGACAGTTTGTTGGAGCAACAATTGATCAGAGATAAGATCTAGCTTGTTAGTTTTTTTTTTTTTTCACCCCAAAACCCCGCCCATGGTATGGTTTGAGTATTTTCCTTGTTTCCACAGGACATCTGGGACCTGAGGATTTCTAAACTACGATCCTCTGTGGCAGAGTTCATCCAGAGTGAAGGTACTCATGCAAAGCTGGACCGCTTAACACTGCTGGAAATCAACAGTGTACGACCCTTCCTGCCTCACGCCTTCGACCACCTGCATCGCCTCTCCAGAGCTGCTCACACCACCAATCTCAACCAAACTCAAGACTTGTGACCACCTCCATCACACACAAATAAATAAATAAATATATATCAGTGATTTTATTCCACATGATACATAGTTTTTGCAAAATTGGATGACATTTAATAAGGCACATAAAGAGCCCCTGGTTATGAAGACATTTTTGGACAAGTTTAATGTAAGTCAAATAGAACACCACAGAACATAACATATTACTCATACATATAAACAAAGACATTAAAGACAAACACAGAATCAAAATAACTGTAAACAAGCATAGAAGTACTGGGTAGCTTTAAAGTGCAGGAAGTTACCTAACAATAAGAACAATGAATTTACTTTAATAATAATCAAATTATTATCTAAGGTGCAATTTTCTTCTTGAAACAACAATAAGTGACAATTAGATGCAATGATTATTATAATTAAAGAAACTCAGTGCAGTATTTCATGACATTAGCACTTGTATGGAGACACCAACACAGTGAACATTGTGATATATTAGTTCAGAAAACTGACAAGTTGAAGAATGAGACACTTGTACAGTACTTAGGAATATTTATTGTGGAAATGTTTTGCCAGTCAGTGGCTTCTTCAGTCCAATACAAAGAAGAATGGTGAAGAACAGGAGTTTGAGGTAATCAGTCCCTCAACCTGGAGTCAATTTAATCAGTCCATCAATCTTGAAAAGAAAAAGCATATGCACAAAGAAGTGGCTTATATACTGTAGACAGGTGAGGTGAAGCAGTTGTAGGTGGTATCACAGTGGTATCACAGTGGTATCTCAGTGGTATCACAGTGAACAAATCCACATGTGGAAGTAGGTTAAGCAAGTGAAAAATTCCCTGTATCAAGATCCCAAGATGTTGCTGTGTCTGACAGCAGTGTAGATAAATAGTTCAGAGAACCTACGAATTGTTGGTTCTCTGAGCCATTTATCTACATCTCTTGACCTGTACTCCCCTCAAGGAAGGTTCCTTGATGTTGGTGAGGGGCTCTTGATTTAGGGAATTGGATCTGTGCTCCAGTTCCCCGAATTAAGCCTGAATGCCTTCCACATCCCCCCCCCAGGCGCTGTATAATCCTCCGGGTTTAGCGCTTCCCCCTTGATTATAATAATAATAATTGACCTGTACTCCTTGGAATGCAGATGAGAAAGATGCATGATAATATACACTTGGAAAATCCTAGAGGGACGAGTCCCAAATCTGCACACAAAAATCACTCCCTACGGAAGTAAAAAACTCGGTAGGCGGTGCAATATCCCCCGAATGAAAAGTTGGGGTGCCACAAGTACACTAAGAGACAACACAATAAGTGTCAGGGGCCCAAGACTGTTCAACTGCCTCCCATCATTCATAAGGGTGATTACCAATAGACCCTTGGCTGTCTTCAAGGAGGAGCTGGACAGGCATTTAAATTCAGTACCTGACCTGCCAGGTTATGGTTTGTATGTTGGTTTGCATGCAGCAAGCAATAACAGCCTGGTTGATCAGGCCCTGATCCACTGCGTGGCCTAGTCACGGACCGGGCCATGGGGGTGATGACTCGCGGAATACCCTCCAGGTATATTCCATGTAAGATGAAAAATTACACATGCTTCACAATACATATGTCCTTGTATTGATATAGCCACTGGATGGTGAAATGTCTGCCAGTATTTCCAGCTGTTGCCCATGTGTCTAATTATTCTACCTAGCATGGGCCAGTAGGACTGCTGCAGTGCTCTTTCTTTTATAATCATAATCTTTATGAGGCTAAGGTCGCAAGGGATTCAAAAACTAACCCAAAAGGGTTCTTTCAGGTATACAGAAGATTAGGGACAAGATAGACCCACTTAAGAGTAACTCAGGTCAGATCACTGACCCGAGTTACTCTTAAGTGATAAGGATATGTGTGAAATTTTCAATACTTACTTCCTCTCAGTTTTTACCCAGGAAAATACTAGCGAAATTCCAGAAATAATAGATTATGTAGAACAGGACGATAATAAACTATGCACGATTGCTGTAACTAGTGATATGGTTCTCAGACAAATAGAGAAATTAAAACCTAACAAATTCCCAGGCTCTGATGAATGTTTGCAAGGGTATTAAAGGAATGTAAAGAGGAACTTAGCATACCTTTGGCTTATCTTTTCAACATATCACTACAAACTAACATAGTGCCTGATAAATGGAAAATGGCAAATGTAATACCTATTTACAAGGCAGGTGACAGGTCCTTAGTTTCGAACTATAGACCAATAAGCCTTACCTCCGTAGTGGGAAAATTTATGGAAACAATAATTGCCGAAGCAATTCGTAGCCATCTCGTAAGGCAAAAATTGATTAATGAATCTCAGCACGGTTTTACAAAGAGGCATTCCTGTCTTACGAATTCACTAACTTTCTTCACTAAGGTATTTGAGGAGTTAAATCATGGTACTGAATATGATATTGTGTATATGGACTTTAGTAAGGCTTTTGATAGAGTTCCACATCAGAGGCTATTGAGGAAACTTAAGCCATACAGAATAGGAGAAATTTTTTCCTGGGTTGAGGCATGGCTGATGAATAGGCAGCAGAGAGTTTGCATAAATGGGGAGAAATCAGAATGGGGCCATGTCATGGGCGGTGTTCCACAGGGGTCAGTGTTGGGCCTCTTGTTCACAATCTACATAAATGACATAGATGAGGGAATAAATAGCAACATAAACAAATTTGCTGATGACATTAGAGCACTCCAGGATGATTTGAATAGACTGATGCAGTGGTCGGAGAAGTGGCAGATGCAGTTTAATATAGACAAATGCAAAGTTCTAAATGTTGGACAGGACAATAACCATGCCACATATAAACTAAATAATGTAGATCTTAATATTACGGATTGCGAAAAAGATTTAGGAGTTCTGGTTAGCAGTAATCTGAAACCAAGACAACAGTGCATAAGTGTTCGCAATAAAGCTAATAGAATCCTTGGCTTCATATCAAGAAGCATAAATCATAGGAGTCCTCAGGTTGTTCTTCAACTCTAAACATCCTTGGTTAGCCTCATTTAGATTATGCGCACAGTTTGGCCACCGTATTACAGAATGGATATAAATTCTCTGGAAAATGTACAAAGGAGGATGACAAAGTTGATTCCCATGATCAGAAACCTTCCCTATGAGATAACTAAGGGGCCCCGAATCTGCACTCCTAGAAAGACTAGAATTAGGGGGATATGGTTGAGGTGTATAAATGGAAGACAGGAATAAATAAAGGGGGTGTAAATAGTGTGCTGAAAATATCTAGCCTAGACAGGACTCGCAGCAATGGTTTTAAAAATTGGAAAAATTCAAAAATTCAGGAAGGATATAGGAAAGTACTGGTTTGGTAATAGAGTTGTGGATGAGTGGAACAAACTCCCGAGTACAGTTTAATTTGAGGCCAGTGGTGACGTGTACTTAGCTTTGAGTGGTGACGTTACTTAGCTCAGTGGTGACGTGTACTTAGCTCTGTGAAGACCTGTTTGTGTGCTCTCTGTGAATCTTGAACCAGGATGCCCTCTCTTGAGCAACTTTACCAGCAGCTGAGAGAAGAGCTCAGAGTTGCTAAGCTGGAGATACGGGGATTAATGGGGGAGAACAAGAGGATTCGTAGTAATCCTCCTGTTGTGAGTCCCCAGGTTAAGAGGGAGCTTGGGCAGTGGCCTGGCAACATGGAACCAAGCTGAGGATCAAGAAAACGGTTGGAGAGGCAGAAACAACGAGAAACCAGAAACAAACCCTGGAAACTTCCAACCCATTCTCTGTGCTACCTGACGAATGTTTAGTGTTTCTACTGGGAATGCCACAACGAGCACCAAGGAAGCATTGGCAGACTGAGTGAGACATCCCTAGAAACCCCAATGAAGACCATCGAGAACGTCTTGAAAGAATTCCACAAGTGGTGTAATGCAACCTGACGAATGTGAGTCACTACTGGGAGCATCACTACAGACGATGCCAAAGAAAATAAAAACATTGTTGTTGTTGGGGATAGCCAGAT